ATTTGTTCTCTTCTTTGTTGTTTTTCAAAAATCGCAAACATTTATTTTTTTGTCTTACGTCGTTAATACTTACAATAGCGACAATTTGTTCACATTATTGCATTTATGAGTAGATGTGTTTTAAATGTCACAAAGTTTTTCAAAAACACCGAATTTGTTGTGAAAACGAAATCAAAATTTCGCATTTTCGCAAACGTTCAATCGCTATTTTCTCAAAAACTTGCTCCAAATTTCTTTTTTAAACGTTTCGTACATATAGTGGTAATTGCATTCTTTGGGACGACGTAAGATTCATTTTGCTGTATATTTTTTTCCAAAAATTACACTTAAAAAATTCTAATGCCGTTAATATGTACCTTTCGAGCGATTTGTGCATTGCTCTTGTGCATTTGCTATTGCATTTCTCAGTAGAAGTGCTTCAAATGACTTCCAATCAAGTTTGTCGGAAACTCAAATTTTCTGTAAATAAGAGCTCGAAATTTCACAATAACTGAAATGCTTAAACGCCATTTTGTTGAAAATGGCTCAAACTTTTTCAATGAAAGTTGCCACTTAGGACGAGGTTTTACTCTTCTTAGTATTCTTAAAGTAATATTTCGGTTCACTATTAGTTAAACGAAAAACTGAGTTGTTGTTTTTAAATGTACTTTGGTGGCGATAGATGCAGGTGGCAAAAGTATGTAGCAAGACAGAAAAGCTAGGCCAGACCAAAAAAATTAGGAAACTAACTAGAACGAGAAAGTCTGTGCTATTGTATATGTATTACCACTAGTTCTATTCGAAATTAGTATGCAACTAGCTACTTGCAACAGCAAAAATGTTCCTTTTGAATATCTGGAAATAAGGGGTCCGGGAACAACAAGAATTCGGATGTTGTGAAACGGCACACACGAATACTGAAGGTTATTCCTTTCTTGTAGCATGACGTCAACAATGTAAAGAGTGACGTAGGAAGATAATATACGAATAGTGACATTAAGCATGAGAAATTGCTGATTATCAGAATCAAATATTTGCATTTTTCAGCCAAAATCGAAATTGTTTTCCTTCCTTTTGTATTTTCTTCGAGTTCTTGGGTATCTAACGAAACCTTTGATACCTCTCACATGGTCAGAGGCTACTTAGTTTTCCACCAAGTTATGCGTTTATTAGAAATTAGTAATATAGATGAAACGAAACTAAATATTTGTAATTAATACACAAATAGGAAGATCATTACGCCACGGACAACTAGTGAACTTCATACGAGTGTATAAATATCCATTTGATCAAGTTTCATACTGCACTTTTTCTACGACTGTTGATACATACTATAATGCTTGGTTTATAAACTCTGTGATTGGTCAAACACCTGAACGATACAGACGCTGGATCGTGGCCACAATGATGCGACCACCTAATAATTGTAAGAGAATTACACATTGGAATATAAAATGGATACATATTAATTTTCTCGTGACATGATGGGATGACATCCCACTGTTTCATGTCAGTTCATTATAGTCCGTCAAAGATTAAATTAGCTCTATCACAAAGCTGCGTAGAATGGCTTTATGATTACATTTCGTTGAACCATTAAAATCTCTCACTTTATCAATATTTATTAAATCTTACACTACTACATGATGGTTACGACTATACTTATCAGACGCCTAACAGACGTACATAAAAAAATAGTGCAGTATAAATCCGTTTACAATACCGGTTACAATGTACCTAGTAGATCATGCATATCTATGATAACTGCATAACATATCCAACCTCTCAAAAAATGGCATAAAATGATTACAGTGATACGTGATGACTTGCATAATGCATATGAAATCAAGGTTCGATTTTGAGACTACATGTCGAAAATGCCGCACAACAGAGCAGATTAATATCCCTATTGTGCGCAGGTTTTCTTGAGCTTTTACTTCGAGTGCGAGAACGGGAAAGGTTACTTCGTCGTCAGTATAATATAGCGTAGATAGTCTAACAAATCACATTAGTAGCTCGTACTTCGATGAAAAAATAGTTTCTATTACACGGGAGTGGAAATTTCTAGTTATCAACGATCATTGTTATCTTTTATTTATGATTCAAATAAATTGGTAAAGAGAGAGGCAGATATTCCGGCACTAAAGAAAACGAACGCATAGAATCAATTTGAAATTGTGCAAGTGATTTCATTTTATTTTTGGGGGCGGAGGGGCTTAAGCAACCTCGCCCCTCCCCGAAGCGCTAAGTCCGGGCGAACCATACGCGGCTCGAGAAGGGGGGGTGGACACGTTCGTTCCGGGAGAGCGGTCGTCACGTGCGAACCTGCCTCTCCGCGCGATTCATGCCACCCCCACCCCGCCGCCTCCACCGAACTCCGGACGCCGCCGACCCAGTTCGGAAGGCAACGTGCGACTTTCGAGACGGCAATTTGCGACGTTCGTAAGCGCACGATGCCTGACGCCCAGTAAAAAAAGGCTACGCCGTCTGTCGTCCGAGACGCTTGTCGCGATGAAACGACCTCAGAAAACAAAGAAGCAGCAAATGACGCAGCGACTAAGCGTCATCTTCATCCTGACACCTACGAATAAAACATCGATGTTTTTGTCGAAACATCGACGTTTTAAACATCGATATATTAGTTGCTGTTTTTTCACAGCCATGTGTGGTCGATGCTTTTACGTTTTCCATGATTTGTTTTTAAATGTGAAAAATTCCCATCAATATTTTGTAAAAGTTAAAATATTAAACAACTAATTTCATATCAGTTTATACCCTTTTCAACGAACTGACGACTGACCCGTTGATGAGACCCTGCGCTATCCTGCTTTTGGGCACACTTTTGTCAATTGTTATTTTTACCTTTGTTACCGTCTAAATCTTAAATGAACATCGATGTTTAGTAACATCGATCTTTAGATATCGATGTCGATTCACTACTGTCATCCTGGTAGCGCATGCTAAAATAATTTCCAAGACCCAAAATTAAAAGTCTCAGAAAACGATGATATACCGAGAGTACAAATAAATGGACTTCTAAATACTAATAGCTGGTATTAATGCATGCTAAATTAAGTAGAAGCAGTGCCAGAAAGAAATTATGAATTTAAAAGTTATTTACACAAAACATTAAAAACCGCTCTTCAGTCAAGGAATAAATTATAAAATGCTTATGATTTTCTCGAAGAAACAAAAGAGACAGATAAATAGTGGTCAGAGTAGTGGAAGGACAGACATATTAAATGAAAAAAAATATCGGGGCTGAAACAAACGTAACTACAGTGGCTCATACGATTATTATTATTATTATTATTATTATTATTATTATTATTATTATTATTATTATTATTATTAAAATGAATATAGTATTCGGTGTAATGTTTTGCATTGTAGTATTTAGTAACCTTATTTATAAAGGCCTGAGGATTGATGCCAACGATAAATACTACAGATTACATTTATTTCAGTCACAAAAATAATATATTGTCATAAAAATTAATAGAATTATAGGTTAAATCATGAAATATGTGAATGAGTGCGAGAAAATAAAGAACAGCAATTTGAAAAACTACACGGACAACGCCGCGAGGACCGCAATTGAGGGGGCCCGTCCTGCACACATTGATTAATCCGCTCCCGAACATACGGAAAGTAAGCGGCTGAGGTTAGCTCAGTGCCGCCTTTGACGCAGACTCAGAGCTGGAGCGACGGCAGATTTTCGGCAATAGCTACTACATTGCTAGATCGAAATTAGCCAATGCTTAGAGAATAATTCTAGCAGCAGGACCGCCTGATTCGTAGTGTCTCCAACTAGTCCAGCCAGGTAACGGTGTCGTACGTGACGCGCGATCTTTCCTTCTTCATCGTCCTATCCTCTCCCCTTACACTTACAACGCCTCTCCCCTTACAACGCAAATACGCGTACATGCACACTACAGTACTGGACGGGTGGGAAACTTACACTTATAGCTTGTCCTAGCTGGTGCGGTGCCGTTGGGGGAGGTTCCTGGAGGAGGAAATACACCTCGTGATTTCTCTGATCAACACAAGGGTAGCTAGAGCAAACTTTCCTTCCTCTTCCTTGTCCTATCCTCACCCCTTATACGCACACTAACATTCACTGCACTACCACACATGCCGGGAGACCGGTCGGGCGCTTAGAGCTTGTCCCGGCTGTCGACGGGTAGGTTAATGTCAGATCTCAACAAAGGGGAACGGAACACCGCCATCTCGCGGGTTAAAACATTCACTATTCTAACGGGACTAATAACTATTGCAGTTGGCGTGACAGAAAACAATCAATATCGAAAAGAATGAAAATTGCAATATATTTTTACGGAAGTATAGTGGACGTCAGTGGTAAGTAAACCTTCCATCAAAATTATTATTCCTTTTTACTATTTAATGCATTTTCCAGTCACATATTCGCAATCAC